ATGTTCCCTGATACCTGTAGGCCAATCCTTCGAAATAGGCCTATGTTTTTGGTTGATTTCTGTTTATCGCCGTGTTTATCGTGAGACCTGCCATTATTTTAAAGGGTGATAACACTTTTTACAATGATGTAAATATACAAATAATCGTCACGGATGTATGTGATATTATTTAAAACAGTGGTTATATAAGTACAATTAATATGGGGTGCCATACGCCTATGCTTTGTCAAATATATAACCAAATTATCAATTTTTGAACGAAGTGTGATGTTGTAATAATTACCCCTTCTTATAGTGGTTGATCCAACACGTATATTGCCATCTATAGTTTAATACTTTTTTTAGTCCGAGAAGATCTCATGATTTCAAGGCAAATAGGCTGAGCTTTCGATGTTTTACATTTTTATAATTGGTAAACTAGTTCTTAATATTTTATAAAATGATTTTAGATATTCCAATCATTTATTTATTACATGGTTCCAGAATAAAATAACAAAAGTCTATGGTGAATATTATTCAACCAATATTATATTTGCATTGTTGAGTTACCCTAATAGGCCCTAGGCCTAGGTATAGGTAAGGTAGGGCCTAGGCTAGGACTACTGTATGCCTCGAGATAGGCCTATATAGCCTTACAGGCCTAGGCATACATGATTGGTGTCGGGCTAGGAGGTAGTCTAGGCCTGCCTATTAGTGAAAGGCCACCTATCTATAGTAGAACATTTATTCGCGCGATTCGGACATTTTTACTAACATAGAATGGCGGTATGAAAATTAGACTGCACATACGTAGGCCTAGCCTATTAAATAGGCTATCTGATAATAGTGATTCGCGCGACCCTTGCCTACTGTCTGTAGGCCTAGACCTAGGCTTATTGGACGTTTAGGACCAAATTAAGCCTTAAAAAAGATCTCTTTTGAACCCTAACAGGGTTTCACTTTTATTGGGGCAGTTGACCAAGGCTTCTTTGTAGCGTTGCGTTTGACCCCTTGACCCCTTTGCTATTTTCTATAGGATAGTCTTATCAACTTTAATCCATGGGTATTTAGCCTAGGCTATATGGGAGTGCTTTCGTTAGTGAGTATGATATATAACGTTGACATAGACCTTGGTAGCTGACTTTAAAATTGTTTAAATAAGGTGTGTATTATTTTTGGACAAATTAAAATAAATTTGAATAAATCACAAATGACTTTTACATATTGGCGCTAACGAAACTAACCAACTTTTTTGAATAATAAGCTATGTATAATATTTTTCTTGATTGGACCACAAGAAAAGTAAACCAAATATTTATAATGACATTAAATTCTTATTCATTTTAGAATTTATTTTTACCATAAAAAGGAAGCAAGCTTACCAATAGGTGAAAAATCAGTATGGCCAGCAAGAGGTAAGCCAAAAAAAAAAAACAAAAAAAAATACCACATACCAAAAAATAAGCATGGAAAATGTATTTTTTCCATTTTATAATAATGTAGATATTGCTAATACCAAACACTCAATTTGAGTCTTGAAACCAACAAGATCATAGGTAGAAATTCTCTATACAAATATGCATAGCAATATAGATAAAAACATTTGACACTGGTAGGTTGAAGCTCAATATGTTAAAAGGCAGACAAAATCCGATTTTTAAAAGAAATTAAAAGAATGTTTAACAAAAATATTTGCAGCAGTTAATTAGATACAGACTTACTAAAAACTGACGACAAAGGTGAACCAGAGCCTTGCAGGTGTCATGTTCCTGTGCATGACTTTATCAGAAAATATAAGGCTGGGTCTAATTTGTGTGGTGGTTTATAACTTCAACAGTTCAGGGGAGAGTGTATTAGCCTACTCTATGAATTGCCACAACCAGAGAGCTTTGACTGAGAGTTAAACATTCAAATTAATTATTGTTAGTGTCATCGAGTCATTTTGTTGCAATTTGTGGGTGAAAATATTTGACACGCCTACTATATGTCCTTGCCAAATTGTAGATTAAAATGTTTCTTTGATCTAAAAATAATTTGAATTAGTTTTTTGTAATACTATGCATTGGGTTGTTTTTGTTTTTTTCTATAAAATTTGTTTCATGAATTAGAAGATAAGTTGATGCTAATTATTTTCTTTTACTTTGAATTTTGTTTAAGGAAAAAAATAATTATAGATGAAAAAATTAGGACTACACTCGTATCGTATTGGGACAGAGGATTGACAGGATATGGAGACCAAAGAAAAAGAGACCTGTTGCAGGAAGCAGTGCTTGCAACTGGCTTGGAGGAAGTACAGGTGAAGGTAGGCTAATTATACTCACTCTACACTTACTATATACAATGTTTAAGCAATTTAATTAATATATTTATATTATGATTTATGAGTAGTTTTGCATATTATGATTTTTTTTGCAAATCTTACTGGAACTTAACATTCATCAACTTAGAAAATCATTACCAGTAATAATAATTTACTTTCACACTTTTTATGTCCAGTATTACATGGGCATCAAATTCAAATGACA